TAAACAATGGCTTTGTCAACACAAATTGTCTGATCTGATATAATTTTTAATTGATATTTTTAATTGATATAGTCCAAATCATTACTGGCCTTTTGAACGTGAGTCCTGATCATCCTGTCACTCGACACAGATGTCTTCAAATGAAACATCCAGAAGATTTACATAAACCTTTCTCTACTGAATGTTTCTGAAAAGAAGAGGATTTTACTATTGAAAACAGTTGACCAGTATGCTTGCAAATTTGATGCTTGAATTATTCCCAATTTTAAGATAACTGCAATAAAAACTAAAAATTCCTGGTGGTCAGTGTCATTGATTCACTTACGCTGAATCAATTTGTGTGATAGCTGCTTTTTCCTTATTTTTTCATCCACATAACAATTTGTTTCTTTTATTAAACTACCCACTAATTCATTTGTGAACTACAGAGTAAAATAGTCATTTAGTTCTCTTATATTACTTGCTGTTTATGGTCCTGTTGTTTGAGGGTGTGCAACAAAATTTATTCTCTCTGGAGGATCGTCTTTCTCTATATCATCTTCCTATTCGTCTCTTGACAATGCATTATCTTCTACTTCTTCAAAACTGTTAACAACTTTCATTGCTATCACTTTCTAATATATTCGCCCATTTTCTTCTCTTAGCCAGGTGTGGTGGTGCACACCTGTGGTTTCAGCTACTTGAAAAACTGAGGCGGAAGGATCACTTGAGCCCAGCAGGTAGAGGCTGCAGTGGCCATGGGTGTGCCACTGCTCTCCAGCCTGGGTGACAGAATGAGATGAGACTCTTACTAAACAAAAAAAAGATGTCTATAATTCAGTCCCAGTGAGAATCCAAGCAGGACATTTTTTTCTTGTTTATAGAAATGTATATGGAAATGTTAAAGGCCTATCTAGAATATTCTGATACAGTCTTGAAAAAGAACTTAGTTGAAGACTTAACTGTAAACAACACTTTGTAATCAGACTATAGTAATGAACACAGAGTAGTATTGCAATAACAACAAGTAGACCTACTGAACAATAGAGCTACATTGTCTAATATGGACACTACCAGCAGCATGTGGTTATTGAGTACTTGAAATGTGGCAAGTCTTAATTGAGATGTGCTATAAATGGAAAGTATATACTATATTTTGAGGACTTATTATTGAAAAAGGAATACAGAAGTATTTTCTTAATTTTTTTATGGATTATGTGTTGAAATGTTAATACTTCTGATATATTTATTGGTTTAAATAAAATATATTATTAAAATCAGTTGCACCTGGTTCTTTTTACTTTTTTAATGTAGCTACTAGAAAATTTAAAATTACACATATAGCTTAATGACCTTGGTAGCAACAAAGATTTCTTGTTTTTTTGTTTGTTTGTTTTGTTTTGTTTTGTTTTGTTTTGTTGACCATCTTGGGCAACTTGGCGAGACCTCATCTCTATAATAAAAAATTAAAAAAATAAAATTAGCCCGGCATGGTAGCACATGCCTGTAGTTCTGGCTGCTTGGAAGGCTGAGATGGAAGGATTGCCTGAGCCCAGCAGGTTGAGGCTGTGGTAGCCATTAGTATACCACTGCACTCCAGCTTGGGCAACAGAATGAGACTCCAACTAAAAAAGAAAAAAAAGGGAGAGAGATTGAAAAGGAAACCCATAGACTGATAGGAAATGTTTGTAGTGTATATATCTGACAAAGGACTCTTATCCAAAATATATAAAGAGTTTCTACAAATAAATAAAAAAGGACAATTTTTAAAATAGACAAATGACTTGATTAGGAGGCTCACAAAAGAGGATATCCAAATGGCCCATAATTGTTTGAAAAGGTACTCAGCATCCTCAGTTATTAGGAAAATGTGAACTAAAGAGACAACACTGCGCGTCCACTAGAATGGCTAAGATGCTAAAGACTGACAAGATCAAGTCACTTGAAAATCCCATACTTTGATAGTGGGTGTAAAAATTGTTACAGTCTCTTTGAAAAAAATTTGACAGTGCTCATTAATACTAAACATATACCTATCCCATAACACAGTACTACTCCTAAGTATATATCTAAGATAAATGAGCATATTTGTCCACCAGAAGACATACACTTTATTTGAATTTTATGCATAATATAGAAACAATTAGAAGCAATGCAAATATTTTTCAGCAGTAGATAGTGTTGTAGTTATATTACCAGATGCTATACAGTGTTACAAAAGAATGAATTACATATTCTATGACTCCTTTTATGTGAAGTTTAATAATAGGCAAAATTGTGATGATAGAAGTCTGCATATTGGTTACTTCTTTGTGGTCTTTCAGAATGTTGAAAAGGTTATATAAGTTGATATGGGTGGTAGTTATATAATATGTGTATATGAAAAAAATTCATCAAGATATGCACTTGAGATTTGTATGTGCTATAAGTATGCCATATGTCAATAACTAAGCATTATGTTAGCATGCCTGATAGTTTCTTTTCTTTCTTTCTTTTTTTTTTTTTTTTGAGTCAGAGTCTTTGTCACCCAGACTGGAGTGCAGTGACCCTCACAGCCACTCCAGTGTTGACCTGCTGGACTCCAGCAATCCCTCTACCTCAGCCTTCCAAGTAGCCGGAACTACAGGCATGCGCTACCATGCCTGGCTAATTTTTTGGTTTTTTTTTTTTTTAGGGATGAGGTGTTGCCAAGTTGCCCGGGCTGGTCTCAAACCCCTGGGCTTATGCAATCCACTCACCTCGGCCTCCCAAAATGTTGTGATTACAGGCTGAGCCACCGAGCCCAACCTGATAATTTCTTGATGGTGAAGACTATACACATTTACTTATGTAAGACCAGTACGTAAATATAAAAGGCATTCAATAAATAATGTGGGATGGAAATTTAGGAAGGAAATGAAGTAGAGAGTTAAGAAGGAAATTGGCTCATTAATCTAGTTTCTCATAACCATGCACTTGTTCCTTTACTCACTGCCCACTTCCCATAGTCAGACTTTTGTTGGCTTCATAGTCATTGGTAGTGGTCCTTGCTGTCTGTGATAGGTGTGAGTATATAGAGAAGGGGGAGACCTTAATTAAGTGACATAGATCAAGAAAAATAACTCTCCACTCTTGCCTCAGGTAGTTCAATACTTTATTTCTTTGTATTTGCTTCCACCTCTCTTTTCCCTTCTTTGCTCTTTAGCATTCAACAAATACCTATTGGTTACCCATTTTTGCCTGACCTTTTCTAGGCTAGCAGCTATATCAGTGTGGAAAACAAGGATCCCTCTCCTCAAAAGGTTTTCATTATAAAGGGAGAAGACAAGCAATAAACTAGTTCCTTCTCCTTTTTTTTTTTTTTTTACCTATGTTTAAGAACCACGCAGAAAAGAAACACAGAAACAAAACCTTAGTCTGTATTCCCACCCATTCTTCCTATTGTGTGATAATTACAGTTCAATTCCCTTTTTGTTGAACAATGAGAAAGGACTTTTGTCATTTTGTATGAGCTTCTGCATGGCACCTAGCACAATGCCATGTGTCTGAAGGAGCTTAGTAAATATTTTTGTAATCTTTGGGACCATCTGTCTGTGCCTGCTTGCTGATTTCCATAATTCTTTTCTGTCATATGCCCATCTCACTTTTTAAAAAATTGTCACAACTTTTCTGGGAAAATCTTGATTTAAGATCTTAAGAAATATAATGGAACAGACACTGTGACCCATGCCTGTAATTCCAGCATTTTGGGAGGCCAAGACAGGAGAATCGCTTGAGGCCCGGAGTTTGAGACCAGTCTGGGCAACATAGGGAGACCTCATCTCTATTAAAAAAAAAAAAAAATAGCCAGGCATGGTGCTGTGCACCTGTATTTCCAGCTATTTGGGAGGTTGAGGTGAAAGGATCACTTGAGCTCAGGCAATTGAGGCTGCCGTGAGCCATGATCGTGCCACTGCACTCTAGCCTGGTTGACAGAGTGAAACTACAACTAAAAAAAAGGTAACGTTTTCTGTAATTGTGTGGCTGTATGACTTTGGGCCTTACATCGGGTAGATTGAAGGTGAAATGGAACAGAAATCATCCTGGGATGTTTCAACCAGAAACCCAGAATAGTGATATTGGCAGTTAGGGTTGTTGTGTTCTTTTTACATATTGCTTGAAGTCTCATGTTGTGATGGATCTGGAAAGGTCATAGTGACTATGAAACCACTGAGAAATAAAACTGCTCAAAATCCTGGAAAGAATGTTAAATATAAGAGTGTTCTGTCTGACTCAGTGCATTCTTTTTTAAGTTTGTCATTTTTTACGTAGATTTTTAAAAATCACAGATACTCTATAGAAAGACTTCATGAAACTAGGAACCTAGATTTGCCGATGGTGACTCTGGGGTAGGAAGGAAAGAATTTATTTTCAGTTGGGATTGACATTCAAAAGATGATCAGTGAAACAGCTATTTCCAGAAACGGGAAAGATGGTACAATTTAGTATATAACATCTTCTTTTTGCATAGTGCTTATTGTTTACAAAAATGTTTTCACATACCATTTTATCTTCTCAGTAATGCAGTGAGATAGATATTTTTAACTCCTATTTTAATAGATTTGGAAACTATTGATTTACCCCAAATCTGTAGCTGGTAGGTATTAGAATTGGGACCTTCAGATTCTAGGCCCCCAGACTCTTTTCTTTTACAGTTTTCTGAAAATTTTATGTGGCAATTTGTAGGTAGTTTTGAAAAGAAGGTAAATCCTAGGATCAGTTTTAGCGATATTAAATATAGATCTGAAATTGAAGCTGAAAAACAGAAAAACTTACTGTTTATATGATAGGGTTGTTTCCAGAAGTTAGAAACCACCCTTTTAAATTCAAGTTTTGCAAAACATTTGTGATCTTTTGACCACTCTGTGAGCTGATAAGATGGAGGCCTTGATACCCAAAGGTGAACTTTTGAATGAAATAGTGCCTATTGTAGTATTTCTTATCAGAATTATTTTCTTGGATTGTGTGGTTCCATCAATTTTCTTTTCACTCTTTGTCTCCAGGAGCCTCCAGAAGATGATGCAAACATCATTGAGAAGATCCTGGCATCTAAGACTGTACAAGAGGTTGGTGGCTCATGTTTCTATCTTTTTATCACTGGCACAAATTACACCCTCTGTGAAGATGTTGGCTAGAGAACCTAGAATGATCATTCTTGGCTGGAGTGAGTGGTAGGCAAGAGTGTTGTCTGGCTAATCAACACTTATTTTCACCCCCATGTAAGATTTTAGGACATACAACTCTTAAAATATCTAGAATGCCTGAAACTGCTCATTTTCTCCATTGTGATCCTAGCAAAAGGTATTTATTCCTTAGTTACTATAGCCCATTGAAAGCAAGCCGGGCTCGGTGGCTCAGCCTGTAATCCCGTGCCTTTGGGAGGCTGAGGTGAGTGGATTGCCTAAGCCCGTGGGTTCGAGACCCGCCTGGGCAGCAAGACCTCATCTCTACAATAAATCAAAAAATCAGCCGGGTGTGGTAGCGCATGCCTGTAATTCCGGCTACTCGGAAGGCTGAGGCGGAAGGATCGCCGGAGCCCAGCAGGTCGAGGCTGCGGTGACCGGGAGCGGCCACTGCACTCCAGTCTGGGCGACAGAGTGAGACTCCAACTCAAAAAAAACCAAAAAACAAAAGAAAGTCATTAGAGCTTGCTGCCCATTGAAAGAGGACTGAATTTTTAAGAAAAGTGGTACATGTACATGATGGAATATTACGCAGCCATAAAAAAGGACAAAATTATGAACTTCATAGCAAGTTGGATGGACTTAGAGTCTATAATACTGAGTGATCTATCACAGAAACAAAGAACTGAGTATCACATGTTCTCACTCATAAATGGACTTTGAACAGTTATTGTAATACTATAAGAAAAGTATTCGCAATGGTGGGAAATTGTTGGAGTAGGGGGAGGGGGGTTTTGCGACCGGAGGGGGGGACACACCTCATCAACAAGATTACCTACTTAACAAACATCTATGTATTTAGCCCTGAATTGTATCCCGCATCTTTAAAATTAAATTAAAAAAAAAAAAAAAAAGAAAGTACTTAGAGGGACAAGAAGAAGGAATGAAGAAAAGAATCCTAATGGAGATGTTGGATTTGGCTTTTTTCTTTAGACATCTCAAGGCCATTGTAGGACTCCTAGAGAAAATTTTCAGGAGAGTATGTTGATGCTGGTGAGAGCATAGCTTCATCTTTACTTCAAGTATTTATGAAAGTAAACTGCCTTACTTACAGAGTGAATACTACTGGTGTTTCAGGAGTGAGGGTCTAATGCCAGACATAAATGTAATCTCTTTCACACCAGGCACTGGTCCTGACAGTTTTCAAGCTCTGGGCCATTTTGGGTTTATCAGGTGAACGGTTTCTCAGCCTGGATCTTGGAAGGACTCCGGGTCAATCCTTTTTTTTTATTTTTTACCTTATAGCTGTGTATTTCATCATTACCTGTCAGGAAAAGGCCTGGAAAAATGAAAATATCATTAAGAAATATTTACTAAAACCAGAAAGAAACATTGATTACCTGTTTTCTTTTGGCACATAAGGGTGATCTGCCTGTGATATGTGCTAAGCGCTTGCTGTTCATTACAGGTTCACCCGGGAGAACCTCCATTCGACTTGGAGCTATTCTACGTTAAGTATAGAAATTTGTACGTCTATTTAAAGTATTATGTGTATTTGGATTTTATATGAATGATACTTCTTTCCCATATCTTCAGAGACTGGTCCCTAGGGCGTGACCCACAGATATTAACTGACTTAAGTTTATTTTAGCCAGTAATGCTCAACTTTGGCTCCACATCACATATAATTACCTGGAGAGCTTTTCTTTTTTTCTTTTTTTTTTAGTCAGGGTTTCACTGTCACCCAGGTTGGAGTGCAGTGACATGATCACAATACACTGAAGCCTTAAACTCCCAGGCTCATGTAATCCTTCTGCCTCAGCCTCTTGAATAACCGGGACTACAGGCATGTACCACCACACCCAGCTAATGTTTTGATATTTTTGTAGAGATGAGGTCTTGCTGTGTTGTCTTGGCAGGTCTCAAACTCCTGGACTCAAGCAGTCCTCCAGCCTCAGCCTCCCAAAGTGCTAGAATTACAGGCATGAGCCACCATGCCTCCAGCCGTGAAGAACTCTTTAAAATAACTGAAGTCCTTACTCCACCCAAGACCAATTGACTCTGATTCAGTATGTCCCAAGGACTGATGTTTTAAAAAATCTCCCTGGGCAGTTCTTACATCTCTCCAGAGTAGAGAACCATTGTCCTATAGCATATGCTCTTTTTTTCCCTCTTGTATTTTTTCCTCTCTGCTACCCACCCACTTTCACTAATATGTGTTAATGATAACCTGCCCATGCCTGATCTCCCTCTGCTCTGAGCTGGGTTCTGTAGATGCTGCAGAGAGATCAGTTGCTTGGAATTACTCCATTTTGTTTGTTTTCTCTTGCTCTCCTTAAGGGCAAGACCTTTGTAAGCCCAATCTCCAGCAGTTTCACACCAAATCATTCCACTATTTCTGTGTTAGATGGTCACCCTGTTTATTGAATACCTTAAAGCTCAATCATTTATTAGCTATGTGCTTGTCTCACAATTTGTGTGTCTTTGGATAGTTCCTACTTACATTGTAAATGGGCCACAATGGAAGAGCTTGAAAAGGATCCTCGCATCGCACAGAAGATCAAGCGATTTAGGAATAAACAAGCCCAGATGAAGCACATTTTTACTGAGGTGAAGCAATATTTATTGGCTCATTTGACTGCTGCTTTTCTTGCAGCATTCAATATTGGGTTTAAATTTCTAAGTCCAAGTTGAAGTCCTATACAGATCTATTGCTGAAGTCAAACTGATAAGAGTGTGCTGATTTGCAGCAAAACTAGTTTAGATTTAAGTCAAAGACAAATTACGGTGTAAGGATCAAACCTTATAAACTGACAACTCATAAGAGCATATACTTTGGTATGAATGCTAATAAATAGCTAAGGTGAGAGGGATATGCACACAATTCTTTTATCCCTCCGTGTCCCACAAAAGAACATTCCAAAAAGATTTAAAATCTGAATGTAAAAAACAAAGCTGAAAGTATTAATAAAGAGTTTTATTTATGTAAACTTGGGAATGTCTGAGTATTGTACCTATAGCAAGAGAACATATTGATAGATTTGAATAGTAGTAAATCTATATGTGCTATATATCAGAAAGTCACAAATTTTAAGTAAATAATTAGGAAATATGTATATACGTTATGTGCACACACATTTTTCCTGATTATATACATGTGCATACTTATGGTGTATACTTTTCTTATACAATATGGGAACCTTTGTATTTATATTTATACATATGCACATAATTTATATACATGTGTATGACAGCTTTAATGATAAGATGTATTCTTATAACTTAGTAAGAAAAATATAAAACCTCAGATAGAAAAATGGACAAATTAACAGAAATTTCAGAAAGAAGGAAAAATTGGTCATTAATCATACAAAAATGTCAATTTCACAGTATTCAAAGAAGTACAAATTAAAATGAGAATCTTCTCATTTTTATTTCCTAAATGTTTGAAGGTTTTAAGAAATGGTATTCTCTGATGAGGGTGTAGGAAAGAGGCACTAGTATATCACTGAGTGGGAATGTAACTTGGTGTGGCCTGTCAGAAGAACAATATGGCAATAGATGTTAAATGTCCCAAAATCTGTATATCTTTTGACCCAGAAAGCCTGATTCTCTTGGTTATTTTAAGGAAATTATCAAGTCTTTGCACAAAGATGTAGCTGTGATAAAGTTTTGTTTATATTAGTGAAAAGTAGAAAACAAATTGCTAGATAATAAGCATTTGTTAAATTATGATGCATTTCATAGAATGGAATACTGTGCAGCTTATAAAAAAATTGGTGAATTCTATTTTAACATGTTGTTTTCAGTCTTATACAAATAACTTTTGAAGAAAAGAAACAATAGAAATTATTCTTAAAATGGAAAGTCACTAGTACTAGACACTAAGAATGTAGTCAGATGCCATCAAATTAATTATACACTTACCGACTCATCATTCATGCTGCACTCTTCTCCAAGTCATAAAACATTAATTTAGGATAATGTCAATAAAACTCTCCTAATCCCAATTTGAGATCCTTCCTACTGAGTCTTAAAGTGTGGCCCTATCCCTCTCCGTGATTGTTTTAAAGCCTGTGAGAACTGTTTTTCATGGCAGTATTCCTCTGGTAGAGAGTTGGGGAAAGGAAGTGATGACTAGAATTGGAAGAACCATCTTTGAAGTCCCATTGGATACTCTCCATACTTCTTGGAACTTTTATTCATACCTCTGTTTTACCAAGTATTTCAGTGGAGTAACTTATGTGTATGTTTCATACATCTTAAGCCCTGTGAGACACAGTCCATATCATCCTTCTATTTCTGTCACTGATACTAAGCACAGGGTCAGTGCTCATAATTATTTGACTATCCCCGTAAGGGAAGAGGCTTACTTTATACTATTCCCCTGCTTCAACCTCTCAGTGTTCTCCATTTTTTTAAAAAATAGAGTCCAAACTCCTTAATAGAGCCTATACAGCCTTATGTGTCTGTTTTCTGATATATCCCAAGGGAGTGAATTTTTTTCTTGATTTGGAATAGAGGAAACTGTGGTAGGGTATTTGGAAATAATGTAACAAGAGTTTATACTCTTGTCTGAAGGAAAGAGAAGATTGGGAACACATGAAATTAAAGAGGAGTATTAATGGGGAGTGGTTCCCATAACACTTTGGTCTTGATCTAGTCAAAACTTTTATTAGTAACTTGGATAAATAATTTAATGATGTATCATAACTTAGTTTTGAATAGAGCATCTTCATATCCATTATTTCCAACTTCTTAATGAGGTAGCCAAGGCTTGAAAGGCTGCAAGTTCACAAACACACGTAGAAGCCCCTTCTGACTAAATCCTGACTACTGAACAGCCAAGAGACTCTATACAGACCCATTACTGGGAGAATAAATGACAAAGTCCAGGTTTACTTGGACAGGCTTAGGTGAATACGATGTGCAAATAAATGTAATGTCCTACTTTTGTCTTTTAAGTATCGTGCAATTTTGAAGTGAGCAAAATGACTGGATTGCAGTTTTAGGGAGAAAAGCTGTTGCTAGCTTAATTATTTACAAGTTTTACTGTGTGTCAAGAGTAGGGTATGGCTGCTTACAAAGTAATGCTAACCCCAGACTGCACCAATAGAGAACGCTTCTGCTGTGCCTTGCTCTTTTCATTCCTAAGTATTATGTTCATTTGGGTACCAGGATTCAGTGAGGGATTTTGCAGAGCCCATGGGTAGCTGCAAGAGGACTAACGGTGAGAACAGGGCAGGGGCAGAAGCATAGCGGGTGATTGGGAACAAAGACGAAAAGCAGACTGCACAATGGTAAGAGCCTGGCTTCTGAAGTCAGACTTCCCACCCCGGCACACAACTGGGTAGCCTTTGGACCACTGGCATTCACTCCTTCAAACTCAGTATCCTCATATGTATAAAGCAGGACTCCTAAAAGAAGCAACTTCACAGAATACCTGTGAGGATCCAATGACAGTGCTCTTGCAGTTTCTCAGTTTTGTTGAGGAATAATTCACAAATAAAATTGTATATTTTTTCCCCTTGGGGTGAGACCACTTAAGGTCTATCCTTTTAGCAGATTTAAAATACAATACAGTATTTTGAAGTGTCATCACCATGCTGTGCATTGGATTTTCAAAATTTGTTCATCCTCTGTAACTCAATTTTATAGGCTTTGACAATATCTTCCCATCTCTTCTTCCCCTCTGTCCCTGGAAACCAGCATTCTGCTGTCTGCTTCTATGAGTTTGGATATTTTAGAGTCTACATATAAGTAAGATCATACAGTATTTGTCTTTCTGTGTCTGGCTTATTATACTATAATGTCCTCCAGGCTCATCCTTGTTGGAAATGACAGGATTTCTTTTTTAAGGCTGAATAATGTTCTGTTGCATGAATATATGCGCCTCACTTTCTTTATCCATTTGTCTGTTGATGGACACTTAGGTTGTTTTTGTATCTTGGCTATTGTGTATAATAAATGAACGGTGTTTTATAGAGGTGTGTAGAACAGTGCAGGTTTCTTGCTCACTCTTCCATAAATATTAGCTCTCTGTATCATTAAGAGATCTGGGAACAGAACATATAAAGAACGGTTGAACAAACTGGATTTTTAAGCCAGTTAGGTAGGAAGAAGATTGCCAAAGAGACAGTACAAGAGGAAAGAATCACATTACTTACTGCTGCTATTGGGAAAGCAGTTCACACCAATGAGCAATAGTTAAAAGGAAGTAAGTTAGACTATAGTTTAATCTTGGTAATTATAAAGATCATGATACTACTACTAAACAGTATTAGAGGATAGTAAATGTCTTAACAGGAATAATTGAATCTGAGAGTGAGTTTGCCAGGGATGCTGTGAAAAGTATTCCTGAATTGATTAGATGATAAAACTAGATAGCCCCTAAAGTGCCTTCTGGCCCAAGTGGCAGTGAGAACATTCCAACAGCCCTGGAGGAGAGCTTCTGGGTAAGAAAGACCTGGGTGAATGGTCCTGTTCACATAGCTCTTTGGTCACATTACTTAACCTCTCTGAGTCAGTTTCTTCATAGCACCTATTCAATAAGATAATCTTGAAACTCAAATGAAAGCATTTAGCGTTAGTCTAGACATGAAATAAATATTTCTAAATATTGCTTGTTGTTTATAAGTAAACATTTTTGAAGCATAATGTGTGTAAAGGTAAATAAACATTCTAAGTATACATCTCAATGAGCTTTACAAAATAAACATGCTTGTGTAAGTACTTTCTAGGTTAGGAAATAGAACATTATCAGTACCCAGGAAGCTCCCCTCATGTGCTCCTTCAATGTTAGCTATCGTTGTTGTTATTAAGAAGAAAAACTGTAATTCCTACTTGCCTAAGGCTATATTTGGAACAAAGAGCAGTAAGGAAGAGGGAACCCTTCCAGTGCTGTTTTTCGCACATTGCTGTAATGACCAACAGACATGTATTACCTAGCCACGGTACAGTCTCTGAGATGATTGGATCCTTTAAATTTAGACATAGAGAGCAGGATTTGAGAAAAGTGAAGAAATGTTTGTGGAGTGACTTCTTAAGCAAACCCTTTCCTTCTGTGTTTGCTGAGAGGACCCAGAGTAGGGGTTACTTAAAGATAAAGCCCTGGGTGTTGGATTTAAAGAAAGGGGACACACTTCTTAACTGTTCTTCTCTGTTTACATTAGCCTGATGAAGACTTGTTCAATCCAGACTATGTGGAAGTTGATCGCATCTTGGAGGTGGCCCACACCAAGGATGCAGAAACAGGGGAGGTAGGGGTTTTTGTCTCCTAAAGCGTCTTCCCTTCTTGCCACATATTTTGCTTGCTTTAACATGTGACCTTTGTTTTAATGGTATTCCTGTGTTGTTATGTAGAGTGATTTTCCAGAGGTTGGCAGAGTATGACTAACTCCTTTAATCTAGTAGGAAAAACATTAAGTTTCTTTCTATGTTCCACCAGGAGGTGACACATTACCTGGTAAAGTGGTGCTCATTACCATATGAAGAAAGCACGTGGGAACTAGAGGAAGACGTGGATCCTGCAAAAGTTAAAGAATTTGAATCTCTTCAAGTTCTCCCTGAAATTAAGCATGTGGTAAAGTATTCTTATCTCTGTCTGACACCTCTTAGAACATGTAATTTTATGAACTTTGCAATTATGAAAGTCCACTTGACTGTATGCCTAACTGGTTTCTGTGATAGTTTACCTTTGTCACTCTCCATTGAACTTGCAGCTCAACGTTTTCTTCCCTGAATCAAATTTTGCCCTGGTCAGCTTTGGGTCCCGGCTCTATTGTGATGTATGTGGCATTTTAAAAGGTTGGATATGGGCTTAGATTTTTTTGGTGTATGCCTGTCATATGGAATTGGTAAGATAGAATGTGTAAGAAATGTCTGACATGCAAAAGAATCTCAGTAGATAATATCTTAATTGTTCCCTGTTCTTTTACCTCTTGCTCCTCATCAGTGACCTCTTTTCTTTCTTTTCTTTTTTTCTTCTCCTTCATTCAGCTGAGGTATTCTTTAGAGGTATATAGAGGTATCTTGAGATGCAGAATTTTGATTAGAATCCTGCGTAGTTTATAATGTTTTGTCTGCATGACTGATTGTTCAGTTCTTCTTTCAATGCTCTCCTATTTACACTATCTTCTATTTTTAATTCAATTTGTCAGTTATTTATTCAGCATCTCCTACAGATTGATTCTTAATGTGAGATATAATAAGAGATAAGGTACAGGCACTGCCTTCAGGAACTCACAGTCCAACGGAAGAAGCATGTGTATACATGGTCAAATAAAGCACCAGGCTAATTGTGGTGTGTGGGGCAATGCAGAAACAGACCACTCTGGGATCAAAGAGTAGACAGAGTTTCATTCTGAAACAGTTGGGATTCTCATCCATTCTCTCAGCCCCACTTAGTTCCTCAACCTAACTGTGTATTTGGCAAGAATATTAATTCTCGGGTGTTTTCGTGTGATTTCTTGGTTTCTTTACTTTTTTCTTGTTAATGCTGCCGTCCTTCCCATCTGTCAGTGAACCATAGTATTGCTTTACACTTGCCTTGTTTTCTAATTTATTCTCATTTTAAAATGTACATTTTGAAATTTTATCTCAAAATTTTTAAATTGAAATGATACCTAAAGATGCAGTGAAAGCTGTCTCTTAATGTGTTAAGAAAAGGGCTGGCTCCAAGTGATAACTTACCTGAATAACTGGGGTTTTTTTTGTTTGTTTTTTGTTTTCTTTTGGGTTTTTTTGAGGCATCTTATTCTGGATTTCGAAGTGTAAAAGTGACTTTATCAGTTTTGATGTATAGGACATTTTGTACCTAAATCTCTGGTAAAAATGGGTTACTTGGAATGTCAAGAGTGGAAGAAATAAGTGCGTCAGTGAAGAGAGTAAAGCAATCTTTTACTAAGCAAGACCCCTAGTCTTGGAGATGCCAAAAGTCAGTCCTCTTTTGAAATCAACTAAGTAGCTACTGAAGATTGTAGAGCCTTGGGGTGATTCATAGCCTGTCATCTAGACCACTTAGGAACCACCCAGACTAGGCATCAGAAGCTTCTAGCTGGTTTCAGCTTAGAGAGCTGAAATATCTGGTCAGTAGATGGTATAAAACTACCCTTTAACACTGGGGGAAAGAGGGAAAACCTGGAGGCATAACCATGATGCTTATACATCTAGAGCACTTTCAAGACAGCAAAGTAGAAATCTACAGTAAAATTCTTTCATATATTATCTACAATGCTGAGAGTGAACTCCTTGAGTCAGTAGAGGTGAGGAAGCTTCCAGAAAGTCTGTCGATAGTATCTAGTAGAGTAGGAAAGAACGCTCATTGGAATGGATCGCCTGGGCTTCAGGGATTCAGGCTGAATGGTAATTTCTTTAAGGAAACAGAGCAGGAGAATTTATATAGAAGCACATTTGCTTAAAAACTCTTCTTTTAAAAAAAAACTTTTTATATTGCAACAATGTATTCTTTCTTCCTTTATTTCTAAAAACGCCTGTAACTATGGGCTGATAATAATATACAACAGAGTCTTCTTTCAAAGTGCCTAGCCTAACTACAGCTGTAGTAATTTTATAGGTGATTTGTGACACATATTTTTCTGCAAGACCGTGAACAGCTTACACTTATCTCCAAATATGAGTGATACAATTGGGAGGATTATATTAGATCTCACGTGCAAATGGCTTAGTTTTACTTAACAACATATTTCTGGTATAGACTTTATTGTAGTAACCCAAAGTAAAACTACCAAAGACTAAAATTGCTGTTTAAAAAAGCTAGAGTCTTAGTATTCTCATTTATAACTATAGGCATAGCTATTTTTTGTGTTTTTTTTTTTTTTGAGTTGGAATCTCACTCTGTCACCCAGACTGGAGTGCAGTGGCTGCTTCTGGCCACCACAGCCTCGCCTGCTGGGCTCCGGCGATCCTTCCGCCTCAGCCTTCCAAGTAGCCGGAATTACAGGCATGCACTACCATGCCCGGCTGATTTTTTTTTATTTATTGTAGAGATGAGGTCTCGATGCCCAGGCGAGTCTCGAACCCTCAGGCTTAGGCAATCCACTCACCTCAGCTTCCCAAAGGCACGGGATTACAGGCTGAGCCACCGAGCCCGGCTTTTTTTGTTATTTTTAACACCTTAATATTCCATTTTAGGAGCTCAAATAGTCAAATCTATGACCAAATAATAAAAAACTTAACTAGTATCTAAATAGATTTTTGGATGGGAGGGCTCAATGCATAATGATTTAAATTTTCCCTAAATTAATAATTTAATGTAGTTTGAATTGAAATTCCAATGGGATTTTAAGATAACTTGACAAATTGATTCTAAATTTACATGGAATGATCAATAAGATTGAATAGTCAAGACTTTTTTTTTTTTAAATCAGTATTTTTTATTATGGTTTTGTGGGGTACAGTTAAAGAGTTAGGTGTACAATTACGTTTCATTCAGGCACCCTGCTGATAAGAGGTGTTTTCCCATCCCCAGACAGATATTTGCTACTGTTAATCCCATCCCCCTCCCCCCGTAGTTTCCCAGTACCATCAGTCATTTTCTTATAGTGTCACATTGGATGTTCAAGGTCCATTATATGAGTGAGAACATGTGATACTCGGATCTTTGTTTCTGTGAGAGGTCACTCAGTATTATAGATTCTAGTTCCATCCAGGTTGCTGCGAAATTCATGATCTTGTTCTTTTTTATGGCTGCGTAGTATTCCATCGTGTATATGTACCACTTTTTTTCATCCAGTCCTCTTTTGATGGGCAGCATGGTTGTTTCCAGGTTCTTGCTATTGTGAACAACACTACAAGAAACATGCGTGTGCAGGTATCCTTTTTATAGAGTGATATGAGTTCTCCAGGGTATATTCCCAGTAGGGGGATTGTGGGATCATATGGAAGGTCGATTTTTAGAACTTTTAGGAATCGCCACACTGCTTTCCACAGAGGTTGCACTAGTTTACACTCCCACCAACAGTCTAGAAGTGTTCCCA